CAAGTCGACTCAAGCCCGAATCATTCAAAACCGCAGCCAATCGTCGACCGCCACACGCAACCGGCAGGAGAACCACGTCGAGGTAGACGGCATTTCAATACGCCCACGGCGTCGTACTCGGAGAACCAGCCGCACACACGCCTTCCCGACCGGCAAGTACCCGCCGCACGGAGTACCAGGAGCCGAGCAGTTGCCGCGTTGCGCCGGTATCCACCGTCGCCGTCGACTCAAACAGTCGGAGACTAAAACACCACCCATACGTCCCCTCCTACGGCCACTTGATCAAGTTGTGTCGAAACCCGGGTCTAGTATATCACAGTAGCCGCTTCTTACGAGTCACGCGCCGTGGTATACTGACCCCGTCCATACGGCGACTGTTATCGTCCGTTTCCCCCGCAAACATTCCCTTCATATTTGTAATTAGGGCCTAGCAATTGCTGGCCGTGCCGAGGTCTCACCGCGACGGTCCGTCTCCATAGACCAACCGTCACACCCGTGATCCTCGCTGCCCCCACATTGTACAAAATATATTTGTGTAAAAATACAGGATAAGATGTAATAACGAAAAACCCAAGCGTTATTATTTCGGAGGCCGGTCCATCGTGACCGTGCCGTTTCAAAAGGTTCTAACTCATAAAAACGTGAATGATAAGCGCGAAACCGAGAAATATCAGTTACAACCTTTTCATTCTAAACAATAATTAAGAATGAAATAGTTCTAAACGGTCTTAAATGTAATATCTCAGAATGAAAAGGTACCGTTATAATAAGGTTATACCACTGGTACAATATAAATTATTATTGTGCCATAATAAAATATTATTCCAGCATTCCAGCATAAATTTACCGTCTATTTTTGTTTTGTTGAGGTGATAAGGTAGGTAATACCTACATGCCACATGTATATAGTACCTACTTTAGTATTATAAGAAATGGTACATTTAAATTTGAATTACGTTTTTGACATTTTTCATTATTGTGAATTATGATTTATGCCGTTTAATTTATATTGTTGCGTTTTCAATATACCCCCCTTCCCTACACTAATTGCGCCAATGGACCATACAATTGTAACTTATTACTTATAGTAGGTATGTCCAGGCACATACACAACAACAAAAATTCCGGGGGTGGGGGGACCCCCCTCCCCCTACATATACGGGTATGTTATAATATAATAATACTTAACTTAAAAACTAAAAATATTGCATAATAAAAAAATGTATAATTTATAACATAGTTTACACTAGAAGTTGGTATCACTGCATAGAAAAAATGATTCAAATCAGAATGAAAAAGTTCTAACTAAATAAATAATTTTTATTTTCAGAATGAAAAAGTTCTACACATAAAACCTTTTAATTCTAAAACTAATATTTTGGTTTTTTATGATTAACTCAGTCAATAATTGAGGAAAGACAAATTGCAGATAAAGTTGTGTTCTTTGGAACTTTCTTGATATTGCATACAATTTTCACGATTTAGTAATTATGGTGAAAAAAGTTATTCAATGTCCTACTTAAAAACGTTCCCCTGAACAATTACATAAATTGCGTTAGAACCTTTTCATTCTGAGACGACGATATTACATATTCGTATACATGCGTAATGTATAAGGTATCTAAAATAAATCAATATTATGTTTTTACATGGGGTTTAAGATAAGATGACTTTTTAAGAGGTTTTTCTAAAAATTCTTCCTAATTCTTCCACTATTATGCACTCTAAATGTCAAAATGTTCTATACTTAAGATCATGTCAAGTACCTACTAAACACGTTATCCCTTTATTACTATCAATAATTTTAATGTCCATTATTATTTAAAATATTTAAATAAAAACCCTAAAAATTACATATGATTTAACCACTAAAATTATAGGTATATATCATACAATTATACACAAGACCGTCTAATGGCGGGTGGCGACTAAAGACTTATAACGTGTTAGCACGATGCCATGATTAATGTACATTGTCATATAATATCTTATTATCTCATCTATTTTGTTATTTGCCACTAAAAATAGTGAGTGGTATTTTGCTATATAATGATCCGATAAAGTGTGTCGTTTTTGTCTATCGATCATTTTGAGGAAAAAGGTATGACATTTCCTTGTAAATACTTAAAAATTTCACTGAATGTTTATATTAGCCTTTTCTATACACCATACAATTTTGAAAATATTTTGACTCTTTTTGAGCTTTTTACGGAACATTTTCAGTTTCTAATTTTATTAGTCTTTTTTTTTATGAATGTCAATAAAACTTTATTTGTTGGTAAAAAAGCGTGAAAATTTAACGCGAGGCTCCTGATATATTGTTACAATAGCAGTTGAAAAATATTAAAAATACATATGTACAATTTTTTTTGTAAGCGTTTAAAGTTCGAATTTCGTCAAAATGTATCAAATTTAAAATAATTTTGTAGTTAAAAATTTAAAAAATGTTCAACTTTTATAGCTAAGGTTTGAAAATTTAAAACGATTAAAACAAGCTTCCACGTAAATAGGTTAGGTTAGGTTAGGTTAGGTTAGGTTAGGTTAGGTTAGGTTAGGTTAGGTTAGGTTAAATTACCTTATTCACCTTAATATCATTAAATATACTTCGTAATATCATCGGCTGATTGACCGTTTTCGCTCAGAATCGTTTTTTTTATACAATGATATTATATCATTGAATTCAAATTTAACACCATCCATTACAGTGACCCACTTGTAACCTACTGTACAGTAGAGCGACTTTTTTTTATTGATGATTGTGTTATATTATACTGCAAAACTATAAATCTGGCAACTTTGCACGCATTTTTAAGGTTTTAGGCATGTACAAATGGGTGATTATTTGGAGCGCTTATAATCGCAAATGGGTTGTAGTGCGGTAGAACTCAGTCTTTTACACATTTTGGGATTAAAATTATTACACTTTCCTATACTCTATTCAGGCTAAGAGTGAAAACAAATCACACAGGCAGGTGCGTTGTCATTGGCTACAGCTTCGGCACTCATCGTTATTCGTCGCAACATTCGTCCACCTGCAGATCATGTGACCCACCTGCGCGAAATCAGACGCGTTTTCGTCGTACACATTTTCACTCTTAGCCTGAATAGAGTATAGTAGTTTGTACTATTGATTTTAAATTATAGTATTTTAAATTAATGGTATAGTAACCCAGATTTAGTAACAGCTAAATCATTATGATACATAGCTCTATTGTATAGGTATATGTATTTTTATTTATGCATAATATACTCGTAATATATAAACAGGTCCTGGTATTAATTTCTATAAACTTAATTTGTTTTGTCAAACAATTGGTACATTAAAAATTAAAACAATGTTATCAATTATCATTACTAAAATATACCGTAAAATCTGAAAATGTCTAGTGATTATAAACATTTCTGAATTCAATATGCCTACATCGCGAGTGGCATTATATTGGTCTAACTGTACGTAAGAAGTGTTACTAACTTAATGTGGGTAGATCTCACCTAATCTTGCACTTAGTAAAACGTCAAATAAAGTATTTACATGCATAAGCTGAATTTATTATTGACATTTGATTTAGTAGAGTAAAGTAATTTTATCAATTTAGTGATAACCTTTTTTTTTAATCAAGTTGATTTTTTAGTCTATTTTAATTTTTCTTCAATGCATATTTGAGTTAGTCTTATTAGAACTTAACTTTCTATATTAACGGCTCTATATTATACGTATTTTTATGGCAGTACATTTTTTTTGTTTAATTTTTTTTTTACTATTTATATCCCTTAACCCATTTAAATGTTCATTTTGATTGTATTATTGTATAGTAATAAATTATTCTATTTTTCTGTAAGACGTGATGTGATATCTAAAATAAATATATCCATTGAAAATGTATGACTTTTTTTTGGGGGGGGGGGGTTGTTTTGGTACACCATTTGGCGGGTATTACCCAAATTAACAGTTGGCAACACTACGGCTACAGCACCAAATTCGATATAATTACTGGACATATTTCCTTGATATGTTCACATAATTTACATGCCCCCCCCCCAAACACGAACAAAAATTAATCATATTCTGAATTTGATATGTGAAAAATCAAAAATTGAGTTTATATTTTATTTAAAACATTTTGTAATAATTAAAAATTGATTGTCCATATGTCTACTGTAAATAATTTAAATGTTGAAATTTTTTTAAAAACCCGCTTTATTTACACTGTACACTTGTAATAATCTCTACTTTCTGTGTTGCTTGTCAAATTATATAACTTATACAATTTAATTTTTACTACAAAATACAAATATAATATAATAGTATATATTAACAGGTGGCATTCCTGCCTCCTGGGGTTGATATAGTTACTGGGGGTTGAGTCAACTGGTGGTAGTGTAGGCGACAGGGGTTGGTAGTTTTGGTGGTTGTGATGGTGACTGTGTGTGGTGGGGTGGCTTATAATATTATTCCCGGGCTATATTCTGTTTATCGATTGCTGTATTTTACTTGCGCATGACAAATCCCGGGGTGAAATATCGATTTACTAGCAGATGCTGGCGTACATGATTCCTGGGCCGTGTACGGAGTTTTGGTAGCTTAGCGACAGGGAGAGGTTGGTGTATGATACGCTGCCTCTAAAGTAACATTGTGAGTCCAACATCAAAAGAACATTTTGAATTACAAGATAAACACTGATTTAGAAAACAATAGTTGTATGAAAATCAATGACAATAAGGTGAGTTAATACTAAAAACTGTAGTTAAATATTATAATATATATTTATAATGAATAAAACCATCATTAGGTACTGTTTTATTGCAGCTGGGTCACATTAATCAAAAGTCAACCATTCATTTTTGATATCTACGTACTCCTTGTACACAGGTTTGATACCTATAACTTTTTTTCTAATTCATTTTTGCGTTGTAAGTAATTCAATGATGTGTTTTATTTTCTATGAACTCAATTCCAACCAAAATAGTCGATAATATCTTCAATTTTATCAGGATCAATAATGGTTCACATAGCTACAGTTTTGATTATTCTGGTCACAGCTTTCTCAATAACTGATAATCTTCTTGGAAATATCTGGCTAGAAGCTATATTTAATTCTACAATTGTGATTGATAAATATCATAATATGGTTTTTCCTGAAGCGATCTTCAAAAGTTATGGTGTCAATCATGATGAACCGAAAAGTAAGGACTGGTTGGGTAATAGACCAATATTTAATAAAGTTTTACTTTTTATAATGGCGAGATATGTTTTTATTTTATGTTCCTAAGCATAATATATTTTGGTGTATTTTAATACATTGTAATAAAATTTCCAACATGTAGTTAATATTAGCTGGTTATAAAATTAAATATTTATAATAATACATATTACATATTATAATATAGTATATACATACATATATTTACATACATACATACATACATACATACATACATACATACATACATACATACATACATACATACATACATACATACATACATACATACATACATACATACGAAAATACAATATATTATATATACAAGAACTGTAGAACATATAGAACTGTAGTCTGTAACTCAAAATATCAATAGAGTACCAACCTAGCCTGGTAAGGGAGTCGGTAGTTCAACTCCCTACCTTGGCTTTTAGATTCTGAGCGGAGAGACGAATGAATTTGATTTTACAATGATGTGTGTTTTATATGTGTCTGTGTACACGATAAGTAGACGAAATAATGCTTCGATTTTCAACTTCAGTATCTTGTTCAATGGGAAAGTGAATCTAGTTGGGTGCATCGGGAGGTTAAAATTTCCCAGTAATTTTTAAAAGCGCCGATGAAAACAAAAAAAAAAAAAATTAAGGGGATTCGATACCGTGATTTTCTGTTTTTGTCTGACACACTCGCGACATAGTATTTTAGACGTGTTTTTTGCCAAACATACCAATTGATCCAATGAAGCGATAAGAATTCTGAGAACAGATTTGAATTTGTCATAAAGTCTACTTGAAATCAACTTTCCCACATTTTTGATATTATCCCCCGAATTTTTTAAAATATCATATTCAAAAAGAGTATTTAAAAATTCTGTTATTTAAATTTTTGGAGAAGTTAATATCAAAAAATCAAAAATGTGGGAAAATCAATTTCAAGTAGACTTGACGACAAATTCAAATCTGTTTTCAGAAATCTTATCGCTTCAATAGATCAATTGGAATGTTTGGCAAAAAATACGTCTAAAATACTATGTCGCGCGTGTGTTAGACAAAAACAGAAAATCGAGGTATCAAATCACCTTAAGGAAAAACGAGAATTCCGAAAAATCTGATTTTGGTTTTTGGTGTAACTCTAAAAAAAATCACTGTACATACATGACATTTTCACTGGTTGTTTATATTAGTCTTTTCTATACACGTTAAAATTTTCAAAATATTTTGATTTGTTTTGAACTGTTTAGGAACATTTTCATTTTCCAATTTTATTAGTTCTTTTTTCTATGAATGTCAATAAAATTTTATTTGTTGGGTAAAAAAGCTTGAAAATTTAATGAAATGTTCCTACTATATTCTTACAATGACTTAAGAAAAATCCTTAGATACAGTTTTTTTAATAAGCATTTAAAGTTCAAATCTTGACAAAATACGGAAAAATCACGAAAATTAGCAAATTATTTTGAGTTGAGAATTCATAAAAATTTTTCTTGTATGCTATTAATGTAATTCAAGATTATTTATAAGCTTGTCTACCTTTATCAAAAAAAAAAAAATGTCTATATACAAATCAAATTAAATTTTTATGAGCTTGAAGTTCATATTTTTACAATATTGGTTATTCACTCGATTTCTCAGGTAGCGGTTTGGTTATTATATTGTTATTAAAAAACGAATGACTGTAGATACTTGAAGATTTCACTGAATGTTTGTATACACCATACAATTTTAAAATAATTTGACTCTTTTTGAGCTTTTTACGGAACATTGTCAGTTTCCAATTTTATTAGTCTTTTTTTATGAATGTCAATAAAACTTTATTTGTTGGGTAAAAAGCGTGAAAATTTAATGCAAGGCTCTTGATATATTGTTACAATAGCAGTTGAAAAATATTAAAAAAACATGGGCACAATTTTTTTTGGTAAGCATTTAAATCGAATTTCGTCAAAATGTATCAAATTTAAAATGTAATAATTATTATGTAGTTAACAATTTATAAATTGTTCAAATTTTATAGCTCAGGATTGAAAATTTAAAACAAGATTCCACCTAAATAGTTTATATATAAATTACTTTATTCACAATAAAATCATCAAATATACTTAGTTCTATCATAGACCATTTTGTTCACTGACCCTTTTTTCTCAGAACCGTTTTTCTTGTACAATGATATTATATCATTGATTTCAAATTTAATACCATCCATTACTTGTAAGTTGTAACTTACTGTACAGCAGAGTGACATCTACTTACCCACTTTTTTATGGATGCTATTAAATGTGTATTATTATGGTGGCCCACCCCCATTACTCAAATCAATAAAAATTGGTATCAAAAGTCTCGTCTTAATTTGCTAGTACGTGTACCAATACTCGGAATTCGCTATTCCACCAAAGCTCAGATACGAGCTTCCAAAATGGACTTATATCTTATCTTAATTTAATAAAGATATCTATATTAAATAAAAAAATTATATTTAATAAAAAATTTAGATTCATTAAAAAATCTTGATTGAATGAAACAAAAAATAAATAAAACAAATATATCATAATATTAAAAAATGTATATTAAATAAAAAAGTTGTATATTTAATAGAAATTTCTATAGGTACTGGATATAACAATTTATATTCAAATAATATCTGTATTTAATAAAAATCTATATTTGATAAAAAAAATTAATATTAAAACTATATATTTTGTTAAAAAATCTGTATTTAATAAAAAAATCTATACTTGATAATACAATTTATATTTAATAGAAAAAATATAAATTTAATATAATATATACATATATATATAGATTTTTTTATTATACACAGATTTTTTTAACAAATATTATAGATTTTTAAAATGATTTTTTATTTTCTATATAAACAAATCATAAATATAAAAAAAAGGTGGGAAAGTGGATGTCGCTCTGCTGTACAGTAGGGTACAAGTGGGTCACTGGATAATGGATGATATTAAATTTGAATTCAACGATATAATATCATTGTATAAGAAAAACGATTCTGAGCGGAGACGGTATGTCAGTCTAGGTATAAGACATATTAAATACAAGTCTATGGTACTAAACCAAAATTTGACCTATAATAGGTACCTATAATAAATTCCAAATTAATCATATCACAATATCCATTAGGTACTTATAACGCGTTATATATCAACAAAAACCGTGATACTATCATAGATATATAATAGTACACTTTAGAAGTTTCAAGTACCCACCAATAATATTATTAAATCACAACAAAATAACTAAAATAGTTATTCTAGGTTTTTTAATATGTAATTTCGTCCAAATTTGAACTTAATATGACTATAAAAATAAATTGTGCTTATGTATGTTTTAGATTTTTTGCTAAAAGAATTAACTACTTACGTGGAATCTTGTTTTAAATTTTCACTCCTTAGATATAAAAGTTGAACATTTTATAAATTTTTAACTACAAAATAATTATTCAATTTTAAATTTGATAAATGTTATAAATGTTGTATTCTATAGGTTTTTTAATATGTAATTTCGTCCAAATTTGAATTTAAAATGTCTGTAAAAAATAACTGTGCTCATATATTTTTTAGATTTTTTGCCTACAGTATGAACTATTTATGAGAATCTTTTTTTTAAATTTTCAATCCTTAGCTATAAAAACTGAACATTTTATAATTTATTAATTACGATGATTGATAATTTTCGAGATTTTGATAAATTTTGTCAAAATGCGATCTTTAAATGCTTATAAAAAAAAATTGTGCCTATGTATTTATAATATTTTTCAATTGCTATTGTAACAATATATCAGGAGCCTTGTATTAATTTTTTACACTTTGGCCCAACAGATAAAACTTTATTGATATTTATAGAAAAAAAAAACTAAAAAAATTGCTAACTGAAAAACGGCTCAAAAAGAGTCAAAATATTTTCAAAATTGCATGGTGTATAGGAAATGCTAATATAAACATTCAGTGAAATTTTCATAATTTTGAGATTTCAGATGGAAATTTTTGTTTATAAATACTAAATAGTTACCACGAGTGACGTCGTATTGTTAATAAATGGTTGCCATTAGTGACGTCGTATACAAACATTCGTTTTATAAATTTCAATACAGAATTATAGTGAATCGTTTTAAGTTACAAAATTATTGGTACGGAACCCTTCATGCGTGAGTCCGACTAGCACTTGGCCGGCTTTTTTTTTTATTTCTATTAAAGATATTTTTATTTTATATTTAAAAAAATCTTAAATTAAAAAACAACAAAAAATCTTATTAAAATATATTTATTTGATAAAAAAAATCTATATAGAATAAAAAATCTTGATAGAATAAAACAAAAAAAAAATTCTGTTAATAGAATAAAACAAACCAAAGGATTGTTTTTTTTTAATTTAAGATTTTTTTATATATAAAATAAAAATATCTTCTTAAAAGTCTATATTTGTTAAAAAGTCTGTATTTAATAAAAAATCTATATATACATATGAAACCTGTAGGTATTTTGTCTATTGATTATAAATTATTTTATCAAAAAATATAGATTTTTTTAGTAAACAGATTTTTTTTTGATGTGAAAACATCTTATAATGTGGCGTTCAGACTTTTCCGTTTGGGCAGTGAATTTTTTCGAGCGTTATTCGAGCGTTACCCTTTTCGCGTAACGCTAGCGCTTCCGACGTGCTGATTGGCGGAGACTCGGTGCGACGCGACGCAACGATAGGCCGCCTGTGCTCAGGGGGCGTGGCTTCATTACGATCACGGACATCGAACATAGTGCGGGCGAGAGCGTCAAATTAGTTCATCGTTGACAACCAACGTGAACAGTTAACTAAAAATGTATTGTATACATACAATATTACTATTTGATCACATGCGCAGGCGCGCAACTACGAACGCGTCGTACTCGTACATCGTCCGTTGTCGCGCGTTGGTAGTTCTCGAGGGCGTTTTTCGTTGATAAACACTATAAACAATAAACATGGTCCAGGGCTTGAAACCGCTTTCAAAATTATCGGTTAACGCTAGGAAATTCTATAACGTCGGTAAACGTTGAAACTTTGATAACAGAGAAATTCGAAATGTTTGTTTGCTAAACAATAAAGTAAACATTTCAAACGCCATGATCCAGCGTTTTGTCTGTTCAGTAGTTCAGTTCCAACAACCAATACCTACCGTGGTTGAATTTGCTTAAACTTTTTTAATCAAAAGTACCTACCTATATTTATTGATGTGAAAATCGTTTTGCATGACAGTGTAAATTTTCGAGCGTTACCTTTTTCGTAGGTACGACCGAGCAAATTTTCTATGGAGTTAATATTTTCGGACTTGTAATTTTTTTTTCAAAATTTTTCGAAAAACACAGAAAATTCTTTTGCCACTAACAGACTAATTATGACGTCAGACTGGGCGTCAACCTTGGGGGTAGGTCAAGATCGGAATTCCTGCCGAGCGAATTTTCTATGGAGGTAATATTTTCAGACTTGTGATTTATTGCCAAATTTTTCCTTCAAATTCTAAGCTCATATAATATATGTTTTCACATCTTATGAGGGTCGCTTGAGACACACGCGTTTTTTATTGAATATAAATTGTTTTATGAATTAATTTTTATATTTAATATCGATTTTTTAACAAATATACATTTAATATATATATATATACATAGATTTTCATAAAATACAATTTTCTTTTTTTGAATATTTATTGTTTTATCAAGTATAGATTTTTTATTAAATACAGATATTTTTTTTAATATAAATTGTCTTATCCAATACAGAATTTTCTATTAAATATACAACTATTTTTATTAAATATAGATTTTAGATTCTGAGCGGAGCGATAAATGTATTGATTTTACAATGATGTGTGTTTTTTTATATTTTTTATTTTTTCTTATCTTTTTTTTGTGTCTGTCGTGACCTTCTAGGGCAGTAAAAGTGATTAGTTTTTCTTTAACAGTATCTTTTTTGATAGGAAAGTGAATCTAGGTACTTTGGGCTAAAAATAAAAAATTCCTTATAATTTTCAAAAACGCCGCTAAAAACAAAAGAAAAATTAATGAAAAATGGGAATTTTTAAGCAAAATACGTTATCTAGAAAATGGATATTGGTTTTTGATGTAACTCTTATACAAATGACCTTAGGTACATGAAATTTTGACTGAATGTTTATATTATCATTTTTTATACACCAAAACATTTTCCAAATATTTTGACTTATTTTAAGCTGTTTACGGACATTTTCTGTTTCCAATTTTTTTAGTTTTTTTTTTGTTTTTTTTTTAGTTTTTTTTCTATAAATATCAATAAAATGTTATTTATTGGTTAAAAAAGCTTGAAAATTTAATAGAATTATACCTCATTCATTTTTTATTTTAACAATTTATTAGTATTTTGTTATTAATAGGAAATTAATTTGTATTTATGTGTTATTTTTCAGCTCTGAAATTGGACGTTTCTAACTATTTCGAAGACTTTTCCAATAAAATTATAAAATTGGACAATTTGTTTAGGCAGATTCATCGAGAGTCCATTACTTTGTTTGAGGACGAGACATCAGTGAAAATTCTTCCATACTGTATCTCTGCGGTGGCTTATACAAATGATGAAATATGTTTTGGAGATACCGTGATTCGTAATTTGGAGAATTTGAAACTAGTTAACATTGAAGTAGGCAGAAGTTCGATTCATGAAAAAAAAATAAATCGTTACTTATATGCTACCCATGAGTTCGATGAATTAGTGATTAGCGGAACTACTGATTTTGTAGAATATAATAGCCGAGATAAATACAACATTAGCCTTCGTGACAGTCACTTGATAATTTATCGTGATTATGAAAATCTAGGATTTTTTAGCTTAGAAATTCCCTCCCTAAAGAGTTATTCTGGGTCTAATCATGATAAATATGTAGAACATGCAGTTGATATGCACTTGAAACGTTCACATGACATGAATTTTTATCTACCAGTCGATGGATTTTACGGATTATTGAATCAACTCGAGAATGAAATAAACACTCCATCGGTTTTTTTTCCAGAGAATGTAACTTTTGATTGTAGTGATTTTCCAGAAAGAGATGTAACTAAAGCTCGTGAATTGTCCATAAGCACCATCAACATGCGTTTAAATGAACAACTCAACTATGATGTAATTAACAACGTGAAGTTTGTTGAAATGGGTGACTCTTATAATATGCGATTTTCTATCACTTTTAATAAATTAGCTTTTACTTCTAAAATGTCCGTAATATTAGATAAACTCTTAGTTTTGGATGAAGACGTGCTAGTCGAAATGAAGAACTTATATATAGAGGTTGTTTACTTCTCAGCTTATTTTCCATTGTACAAAGTACATGTTCACATTAAAAATGGACTGAGTTTATCTGCAGAGAAAACAATTGATCCTTATTTCTATACTCCACATTTTAAAACAAAATTATCCAGTTGCATCAAGGCAACAACTTTATACAACTTACAGTCAACTCTTCGCCTTGTAAAAGTAAAAGACTCAGGGTTAAACAATATTCCGAAAGTAAATTTTAATTTATTTTAATTTACAACTTAAATTATTGAATAAGTAAATAATATACCATCACCACAAAAAAATGTGTATTAGTATTCAAACCATTTTAATGGTATGTATAGTTATAACAGTAGATTTTTCTTCCTAAAAATTACATTCGGGTACACGTTTAGTATGCTAATAAAAAATACTGAACTCTGATAATGGTCTATATAGGTAACCATAAAATAATACACTATCTTCATTGAGTACCTAGCTATGTGTATTTATACTTAAAATGAATTAATTAAATGTAATATTCTCATTCTCGTGACGCTCAAAACACATCAATAATATTGTCGGTTGAATAATTATTCACAGTAAAATATTTTGAGTTATCTGCATTCAAGCAATACACGATTTCTGCCCGAGGTTCATCGGAATTGGCTTTTAAAAGTCAATCTTTATATTTTAACAATGCTCAATTCGTTTATACATTTGTTAGATTTTGGTCTGTTATATTTGTTTTCCTTATCGTTACCATTAATGTTAACTAAATAGACTTGTAAGAAAATACAAGGTGTAAAATATCAGACCAAATCATCTATATTTTTTCTGCATACTAAATGAGTATAATATCATGTGCCCTTAATTCGAAGCTTCCCATTACAACACACAAATGGCATGATTCCGCACTACGTCTCGTATCCCATAATAACATTCGTAGGTACTTACTTAAATGTAATTGAATACTCATATACATGTTAGTTAATAGAGAAATTTCTTATGTTTTAATTGTAGAATATATTATTAAATATACCTATGTCTCCATTTTGTAGTTTCATGGTTTACCTTAACCGTTGTATCAAATTGTTTGGATACCACCAAACTATGTCACAAGAAATAAAAAAAAAAAAATGTACAACCGAACTCATCAAAATGAATATAGAATCTTTTCTGCGATTATTAGCAAATAATACATTTTACCTTTACTTTTAGAAAATATAGGTATACGTAATACGTTTCACCTTTCACGTGAACAATTGTTTATTGGAATATTAAATTATGATTAAACCATTAACCAACCACATACATTTGTGAAAATAACCGAAAGTGAGTAATATCTGGACTGATCTTCAACTGTAATGCAGATGATTTGATAACACCAGAAAATTCTAAAAACCTTGCATGTTTCAATACCTTGGGGTAATATCAAAACGTTTGTCTGTCGCTTTGTCTTATGCGTTTTTTGATCATTTGTGTGTAGTAATGGGGAACGCCACTGAATTTGGTATTATTACTATAGTCAATTTATTAGCTAAAGGTTATACAGTGTGAGAAAGTAAAATTAAATTGTTTAACAAGTAATATTATACTCCTCTATCCAACCTTATACAAGCACGTTGTTACTTGTGGAAGTCATAATATATGAATATATCTATACCACATTATTGTATTACTATAATACTGGCAAATGGCAATAGTTAATTTTATATATTTTTTTGTTATTAAGAAATTTAAATATTCATCTCATGTTGTATGTTTGTATCATTTAAAATGTAATACTCATGTGGTGCCGAACATCATTTGCGATTATTAGACATGCAGGATGGAAATACACATCTTCCCTACAAATTTGTGTTGATCGTTGGGTGTGTATAATAATATAGGTACCTAGGTGTTTTTAAATCTTGTGATTGGTTATCTTATCCATATTATACACACGTAATATAAATTTAAATATTTCCAGAATAACATATCATTCACATGGTTATTGGGCTGGGAAAAAAAGATTTTCTCCAATAATATTACAAAAAATATACTCCTAGAATTTTTCACTCGAAAGTTATCCATTGAGTTATGACACCACTATATATTTTTAATAATTGTACCTTATTCAGTAAGTAATATTTATTTATAATTAATTAAAAGGCATAAATACCAACAAAAACATTATACATTCTATTATGCGTATTTTAAGAAGACAGTATTATAAAGTTAAATTTTCAAGAAATCTGATAAACTAAAAGTGGATACAATGCTATGTTTCAAAGGGTAAATATAAGGACAATTCAAGTCGAAACTATAGTTGATAGACTCATTTTTATTTTTTTAAATATTAAATTTGGATATTCAGGTCTTGAGGGGTGGAGAAGTATGCTTCCCTCAGAACTATCACAGAGTTGATGACGAGAATTTAATTCGTCCTCTTCCTCACTAAACTTAAATTTAGTTCGGCGCCACTAATAACATATTATATACTTAAGCTCTATCTATGTAAATCCTTGATAAATATCTTGTTTTATTTGTATTGATAGAATTTCCAAACACATTCAAAGCCAACTTGTACAAAATATATTTGTATAATACCCACTTATTTCATACTTATTAATAATCTGTAATTTAAAATATAAATTTATAAAAAAAATTATTATTGTATCAATGTACCTATATGATATTTTTCACATGTCATTGTAATAATAACCAATAAACTACCTCAATTATTTAAGAAGACAACACTATTGTTGAACATTGTTACAAATTATATTAAAATTTTGTGATTTGGAGTATTTTATTGCAAGTTATAACAACCATAAAATATAAAATGCATTATTTCTTCAATGATAAATACCTGCTACTTACCTAAAATTTTTTTTTCAACCCGAAGGTTGGTTTACAACTCCAATTCTCCATTCTAACCGATTACTGGCCTTTTCATTAAGTTCCTTAAAGGTTTTGACTTTTATATCCCATTTAATTTATCCTATATAAGAGTTTTGGGGACGTCCTTTAGTCTTCTCCTTTCCTTCTATCATACCCTCTAATATTAGATATATTATGCAATTCTTCTGGGTTTCCCATAGCATGTCCAACCATTTTCCATCGTCTTGCTCTAATCGTATCTATGAGTGTAAGTTTTTCTCCCGCAGTTCTAAGTACTTCTTCATTCGTTTTTCGCTCTATCCAACTTATCCTTTCCACACACCTCCAACACCACATCTCGAAGGCTTCTATTTTTTTTCTTTTCGATATCATTTATTACACAAGTTTCACATCCATATGTTCCAATACTCCATACATATGTTTTTATAAGTCTCTTCTTAATATTGAGATGTAACTTTTTTGAAGAGTGCAACTTATGTTTTTTACTCAAGGCAGTTTTTGCTTATGCTATGCGTTGTCCGAATGAGGAGTTATTTTACGTCCGGACAAAATGTTTACACTGTAAGAATTCATTTTAGACGACAAAATAGTAGTTGCCTAACTAGGGATGTTAATGTGGTGGTTTCTCCTTGCCTTCCAAATCGCAGCCTAAACCCTATTTCTAGGAATTGGTGGGTAAGTATAAATAATCTTGTTCGTCTACACTTAGTACTAGAAGCGCTGCTGCCCACTATTAAGTTCCATTTTAGTCGGTTCTTACGACAGGGGGTACCTATTTAATATTTCTATTAATAATAATTTATATTTTTTTTTAAGGAAAGGCGGTTTAACACTGATACACGTCAGTCTTCAAGAGACTAGTAATAATGATATCATAGCATATTATGTCATACGAATGAACTTACATTATTATTTATTTATTTATATTTTACATATAAATTATTCCAGTGCATCTAGGTTTTTGTGTATCTAGCTTCTGGGTGTACGACGTGGGTTGAGAAGTCAGAATTCAATCGTATGAGCACCTATAGAGTTGTCTAACGTTTGGTCTTTAATACTCCACACACAAATAGGTGAGTAAAGTTGTGAATATATTTACCACAATCGCTGCACCAATCAGGAAGTTTATGAAAATAGAAGATATTTATAAAGTTTAGATTAAATTACAGTATTTTTTTTGTAATGAATATGACTACATTTTCAATCATCTCAAATTCATACTATTATATTATTTTTGTTATTGGCATATTATATTATTACGTATATAAGTGAAGGTACCATATCTTATTAGGATATAATATGCTTAATCATCTGACTTATAATATGTTTTATAAGTTATAAGTAGGGCTAGGGACTTCTAGGAGTTTGCATGTTTTTAAAAAATCATTAAAAACATAGCTAAGTATTATAGAAATTTGTTTCATAGCAATACGAGTTTAATTTTAAAATTTATAGTTGCATATTTTGCATATTTGACCATTTTTCATTTATAAGTGCATATTTGACCATTTTTCATTTTATATGTGAATATTTGACAATTATTTATATGACTTTATAATACATAGATTTCCTGGACCTGAGATATAATAAATATTTTAATATATTAGTATTTGTGTTTATCTTGTAGATCACTATTGTATTGTTACTTATATGTACACAGACCGCGTGATTCCCCATAAGTCAAAAAAAAAAAAAAAAAAACTAATTAATTAATTAATCAAAAAATCAAAATAATCAAATTAATCTATATTATAAAATGTAGCTATTTATCTGTCATATCTACAAATATTATTATTATTTATTAATTATAAGTTATTAGTTTATAACAAATATATTATATTTTTTTTAAATGCATATTTAGTGATTCTGTAGTGCATAAATGCATGCATATTTTAAGGTTTTTTAGGTCATAAAGTCCCTAGCCCTAGTTATAAGTTATTCGATTATATTATATAAATATTGATACAGGAATAAACGAAAAACCAAAAAAATTATTATTTGCGGGTATACTTGAAACTTTTAAAGTAGGTATATTAATATATTTTATACACACTATGGCATTTTCAAATGCATTATGTTTGGACAAATACGTACTACTAGCAGTAAATTAAAATAATTATATAGAAATATAATTAATATATCATAAAATATATTTAGTAAAATAAACTGACAGACTGTCTTAGCTCAGAATCGTTTTTCATATACAATGATATAATATAATTTAATTAAAATTCAACACAATATGTATTACACTATTACAGTAAGCCACCCGTTACCTAATTTAAGCCGCGCATACACTAGACCCGAACCGACAGGACCGACCGAACCGAATAATTTTCGGTTCGAATTTTTTCGGGTATAGCTGCATTGATTGTCCCCGAATTTTT